TATATATATATATATATATATATATATATATATATATATATATATATATATATATATATATATAGTAGTCAAAAGAAGTGGATTTTGAATTGTTTTAGGACAACTAAGTAAAAAGGTGATGATCCAAATATTTGCTACTCTAAAAATGACTTCTGTTTTACTTGCACAACTCTAAAGTTACCATATATGTATATAAGTCTGAATAATTAGACCCTCTGTTTATTGTTTTCCCAAAAATCCTAACAGAGGAAATATTTTTTTCAACACATTTCTAAACATAATAGTTTTGAATAACTCATTTCTAATAACTGATTTATTTTATCTTCGCGATGATGACAGCACATAATATTTGACTAGATGTTTTTCAAGATACTAGTATGCTAGGAAAATTCCTTGCTCTGTTAAACATCATTTGTAAAATATTTGAAAAGTAAAACACAATTCACAGGAGGGCGAATAATCTTGACTTCAGCTGTATATTACTAGTTCATCTGCTGTAAACTCATTGTTTCAGATGAGCAGACGCTATGGAGTGAACATAGGCCTGACGCATGAGAAGCTGCCACATCCTTCAAAGCTGATGGTTAGAAAAAGAAGTCAAAGAGGACACGGACATGCTGCAAACGTTCTCCAACACATAGGAGAACTCCGGATGAGACAGCGCCATATAAACCAGTGAGAGGAAGGAGGATTGTGAGAGAAAGAGGCCTTTAAAGGGATAGTTCACCAATGAATTCTTAACAAAATTATATGGTCACTTTTGATTTCATTTGTTCTTAAAGTACCAATGAAATTAAAACTAACCATATTGATGTTGCTAGCTCACATTTTTAGTTTTGTGCTGAACAATTAATAATTAAGAAAAAATATATACTAACATACTAAGCCACGCCCCTCCAGTTTTGACAACAAACAGAAATAGTGAGGTTAGGCTGTAATAACTCTGAAATGCCTACTTTACAACATCCAATCATCTGGTAGTTGAAAAAGCAAGCCACACCCACTGTTTTCTCATTTAATATTCCGTTTCACAATACGGAAAAAAAAACAGTTGCAGCTTCCTATTCATGCAGACTTTAAGGGTTAGAAAGTCTGTGAGAGTCAAGTCTATTCTGCCTACTTCCAGGTTGAAGGGAGACAAATGGTGGGGAGCCACAGCTGTTTTCGGACCTGAGGAGATCGGTGGTCCACAGGAGATCAAAGAGCAAAGGCTTGAGCAGCTTCTTGGCCTTTCAGCTGATGTGAGCCTTAATGAGATATTAGAGGACAATCCGGATTCAAGCAGGACAAAGCCTTATGAAGCTCCTTACTCACCCACTCATCAGGTAGCTTTCATATGTTGAGTTGTTTTGTTGTTGTTATTGCTGAGTTACCCTGTCCCCCTATAGTAGGACACATTTCTCAATACTTGGCTTAACTTCTCACTCAGTTCACCGGTCCCACAGTTTTAACCGTAAATTTCTGCCAACCACAGCTGTCAGTTTGTTTTACTGTAAATGTATTGTCTTTTTTTTAAGTGCATTAAGTCATCATGACAACAAAACTGAGAGTTTACTGCTACAGTTATAATTGCATGTTATAATCTTTATGTACTGTATGTCTTCCCATTTCAAGAACAGTTTTGGGTCCCACTTTATATTAGGCGGCTTTAACTAATATGAACTTACACTGAAATAATTAGTTCATTAAAATGTACTTATTGCATAAATACGCGGCTTTAACTAATATGAACTTACACTGAAATAATTAGTTCATTAAAATGTACTTATTGCATAAATACATGCTTTTACATTGTACTTATGACTGATTAAATGCAGGCATGTAATTACATCTGTAATTAATTTCTGTAATTACATCTTTAATTGACCATCCCTTACACTTTAACCCACCCTTAAACAGGGTGTCCTCGGGGTCTTGAAAAGTATTAAAAGTTGATAAATCAATTATGATAAAATTAAGGCCCTTAAAAGGTATTAAAAAGTCTTAATCGTGTTTTTACGAGGTCCAAAGATCCAAAGTGTTTGACTCCAAAAAAGCGTAATTATATTATTTTCCTCCTAATATTAACAACGGCGTGCTCGATCCATGCGGTTGGTTCGGGCTGGGGCACGTCCAGCCAAGCTCCTCCGTCCGGGTGATGTCACATAATTTGCGACAAATGCGGGAAGGTGATGTGACGCTCTCCACATGTAACAAAACCATAGAGCAAAACAGACGGCAAAATGAGAAAATGTAAGTTTGCGTGCTTCTGCTTGGAGGAAGACGAGTTTAAACAGTGGCTGAAACCTGTCGATGAAAACAACCGCGTAATTTATTCATTCAAGCTCGGTTTCTTCCGAGCTTATCAGAGTTCTGTTGCGGGTTGTGCTCCATTAATTTACTGTTTATTAACAGCTGTTTATTAAGTTAAAGGTTTGATACTGATTAAAACTTGAAGTGGCGATGAGGTCTTAAAATATTCTGATAAGGACTTTAAAAAAGTCTTAAAAAGGTATTGAAATGTCTGCATATACCCTGTTAAACATTTTCTTACTCGAGAGCTTTTCTCATCTGGAAATGGTGAAATCTAGATTTGCCGCTTGTCTCCTTTTAATAAAGACACGGCTCCAGTTGGTGTTGATTGTCCTGTCTCTACAGATTTGTTAAGTGAGCGATCAGTGGTCTTTGTTTTTTTTTATTCAGAGACAAAGTTAGTTCGTATCATCAGCAGTACTCTTTCAGTGTTCAAAGACGGACCTTAGTCGAATTATTTCAAAGTTGCTAAAGTTTACCGTACGTTAACGTCACTACAGACTGAAAAATCCGCTGTAAATGCCGCTCTCCTGAGTGTAAACATGTTAGCACCACAATCAAAAGTTGTGTAGGATTTTCGCTGCATTTTGTGACAGGAATAACACACGCGGCTTTCTGACGCTACCTACCGAGGGCATCTAAGTTAAGAAAAATGTGGAGGGTTTTTTCTCTCATTCGCCATGTGATATCAAACATTGCATTAAAAATACACGCTTCCAGCAATTCCTCGAATCAAATATCTCGTTTGTCATGAGGGGCATGGATGAAATTCCTGAATGAAAGAGCCAAACTGCAGTTAAAGTCCACCATTTAATAATCTGGAAAATAATTTGATTACTGAAGTCCATGTAAACACAGTCACTGTCTTTCTCCTCTGCGTGTTTGCTTTGCCTCTGTGAAAATCAGCGCATGCCCAACCTGACAGTCTTGTGTCCCTTCCACGCCTTGCCTCTTTCCCTCCTCCGACACTTCCCCCTAAACAGAGCTGGACACGCCCACTTTGCTGACTTTTTCCAAAGTAGAGGTGTGAAAAACCCCAGCTGAAACAAGGGGCCCTTTGATCTAAGATTAAAAATGGACTCACCCTCAAGTAGCTTAAAAAATTTCTGTTGAACACAAAAGAAGATATTTTAAAGAATGTTGGAAACCAGTAGCCGTTAATAAAAATAAAAACCTAGTCAATGGCTAAACCTGTAAATGACGAACACGTTTTTATTTTGTGGTGAATAACAGCAGTTTGCTGCATTAGAAACTGATCAGCAAGTGATCTAGAATGATTTAATAAATAAATGAGCTTTTGTAGCTCTAGGGCCGTATCATACACCCGGCGCAGTGTGGCGCAAGGCATGGCGCATTAGTCTTTTGGTAGTTTCAGCTTGGCGCAAGAGTGGTTTTGAGGAGTTGTGCTACGCTGTTTAAATAGCAAATGTATTAGCGCTCATTTGTGCGCCCATAGGCGTTCTGGTCTAAAAAGGAAGGCGTTCTGAGGCGGACCGCTGGCGCGTTGTATTTGAGAAACTATAATAGATTTTTCATTAGACCAAAACTAACCCGGTCTAAACTCCAGCGCAGAGTTACGCCTCGCTTACACACTGCTTAATACACACAAGAGAGCAATAGGCAAATATCTTTACATATGAAAAAATTTAAATATTAAGGATATATATATATATATAGGATATAATAAGAATAGATATAGGATATAAATATAAAGGATTAAAATATTACAAAACATATTATATTCTAGCCTACATAAATATGAAAAACCACTGCCTTCATGTCTTCTTCATCTCAGGAGGCTTTTTCAGTTCATTCATAACAATTTGCTTTTGTATAATGTTATTATTATTAGCAGTATTATTTATTATATCCACATTTATATTTCTTTTATTAAAAACAAGCTCAGATTTGCCCACCTGTCAGGTTTTAGACAATGGGGCATGGCAGGTGTATTTGGAAATAACTCAGTATTTTGACCACACTTGGTCATTAATGTTCATTTATTCGTTTGCTAGAAATTAGAACTGAATTTAGAAATAGTTCTGAAACAAATCTTTGCGCTTAACAAACGAAATTAATTATTTATAGACTAATTGATGTCTGTGCGTAAAGGTTTCCCTATCCAAGAGTGAATGTGAAAGTGATCCATTATCTCATTCTCACGCAGTAGATGCTCTGTTTAACAGTTTGTTAACTGTTTGCTTGTGAAATGATCATTTTTTCCACTTAGACTTACTTTGCGTCCTGTAAATAGTGAATGCGCTCTTGGCGTGACGCAGCTGACTCTTAAAGGGAATGGGAGATGAGACTCTAACTGGTTTATTCTCAAAACACACCTATAACTCATTAAGAAAATAAACTCAACCCTTTTAGCCTATGCGCCTTGGCGCAAAGCGCATTTTCCCGTCCGTAAATTAGCAAAAATGTGTTCTGACACGACCTGAAAGCATTTGCGCCCTGCGTTTTGCGCTCTGCGCATGGACCGTCAAAATAGAGCCCTTAGTCAACTTGCATGTGAGTTGACTGAAAAAAATTTTTTGAAAGAAAAAAGATGGAATTTGATTTTGTCATCTGACATTTTCTTCTTTTATAGTTCTCATTTCCAGGATATGAGCAGTTTCTTGAGCTGGCTCCAGGAGGAAACCCCATGATGGCGTTTGTTGCAGGAACAGCCCATAGATCCCTCTTGACAGCTGATGACGCCGCAGGGTTTTCTGGAGGATCTGACGGGATCCTGAGGAGCAATGATGACAATGATAAGATCAGTCTTTCAAATCTAGAGTTCTTTTGAATTAGCTTGACTCTGTTTCGGCCATGCTCACATATCATTTGCTGTTGTTAAATGTGTTTTTATAAACGCATTTGCATTTGATTTTTATAGTTGCAGATGTTTTATGATGAGTGTTGAGGTTTTTAATGCTCAGTTCATAATGCAGGGGTATTGGTGGAACGGTTCATGATGCATTTGGCTTATAGGTCAAGTTTTAAAAGATAAAAGACTTGACTTTGTTCTCTTGGCTGGATTGAAAGAAAGTTCTGCTTGGTCATTTACAACTGAAATATTTAGTAATGGAGACACATGTTTGCTGTTTTGGCATTTATGAATATTTAATTTATGATCCATGTGATTTTGAATCTTCATCCAACAATTAAACAGGCAATAAAAAAAAAACAACATTTTCAAATATATCCTGCAGGTATGACATTTATATATTTGAAAACCAAATATGAACTTGTATGTATTTGCATAAACTCCTCTATAGTATTTGGTCTATGTGGGTCTCTGGACTTTTTTATTTGTAACAATTTTTTTTTTTTTTTTGTGATATTTAGTTTTATTTAACATTTTTTGTAAGATATTTAACAAAAACAGTACAATACCAATAAAAAGAAGAAAAAATTTAATAATACAAAATAATTGACATTAGCCCCCCACCCCCTCAAAAAAAAGAAGGAGGGATCGTCTCAGTTACCAAATATACATAAATATATATATATATATTCACACTAGGTACAGTTGCCTCGAACCGGGCCAAAGCATGCTTGTCCCCCTCCCGTCTCCCCCGACGGCCCGCGCTCACACCACAAATGGGCCTCGGCACGATTACGTCATTGCTGCTGCGCTGTTCAGTGAGAAGCGCTCTCGGCAGCACAGTGGAGATTTCTTTAGTTATATCGTTTCAGTCATTTGTTATGCCATCAAATATTTTGCCAAACAGTTCTTAGGGATGCGGGGACACGCAGTCAGATATTTCGCCGAACAGGTCCGCCACTTTAGGCGCTCATAAACAATCATAAAGCTCTCGTGCTGCAGGAATGAGGAGGTCTGCTGAAGGCGTGCAGCTGTCATGCAATGAGGGGTTTGCGTCTTTAATAAACTACGGCAGTTTGCGTTCACTGAACAGTAAGAATGATTAATAAATCAATAAAAAACAGCCCCTTAAAAGTCACGTCTCGCTTTTGGTTTCGGGCTTTGGCGAGTTTTGCACTCACACACAAGCGTACCGCGCCAAAGCCCAAGTGAACCGCTTAGGCACACCTTTTCCAACCGGGCCAGGGCCGGCCAAGTGAACCGTGCCTGAGCCCGATTCAGCGCACTCACACTTCTCAAACGATCCGGGAAACGGGCCTGGGCACGGTACGGATGGCATAGTGTGAGTAGGCCGTAAGTTAGAGATGAAAATTTACAAAGGTAAAATGCTAGATTCCCAAGAGTCTTAAAATAGGTCCCCATGTGGTTTCAGCTTTTTTCTGTGAAGTTTCAAGACGTAGTCGTTCCATTTGAATGACATTAAGCAGCTCATTCAACCTATCTGTAACATTTTTAATTTCTATTTATTTTGGCCAAACTCGGATATAGGTTTAGTCATTTATCTAGCCTAGATGTGGAAAGCATTTCACTTTTTTTCCTTGGGAGTTTACACAGTGGATGCCCTTACAGCTGCAACCCAGTACTGGGAAACACCCATACACTCTCACATTCAATCACATACACATAAAATATTAATAAGGAAAGGCGGTGCCGAAAAGCTCAGAGAAAGCAAAAAATTGCTCTAAAATCAGACGCTGCCAAATGCATAAAATTAACTGAAACAGACTTAAAAGGGGGCAGCGCAGAGGGTAGCACTGTCGCCTCACAGCAAGAAGGTCGCTGGTTTGAGCCTTGGCTGGGTCAGTTGGTGTTTCTGTGTGGAGCTTGCATGTTCGCATGGGTTTCCTCCTGGTTTTCCTCACAAGACCAAACATGTGCTATAGGTGAATTGGGTATGCGCTGCATAAAACATATGCTGGATAAGTTGGTGGTTCATTCCTCTGTGGCGATCCCAGATTAACAAAGGGAGTAGGCAGAAAAAGAAAATGAATGAAATTATATATATATATATATATATATATATATATATATATATATATATACACTCACACTATATACACACACACACACACACACACACACACACAAACACAGAGTGCCCAGCAAGTGAGTACACCCCTCACAAATCTCTCATTTAAATTAATATTTTCTATAAGATATAAGATGCTTTATAATATTATATTTGTGCTTATTTATTATAGATTAGTAAGCACTGAAGCTCAATATGGAGCTAACCTAACAAAAAAAACTTATGATAACCGTCTAAAAATTAGTAGACCAAATTTATTTGTAAGAAAAAACTCATATGAAAATTTTAAAAAGAGCAAAAATCAAGAGAAACAATATATATATATATCAGATTTAGCAGTTTGTAACTTGTTTTCGCAATATTTTGCATGAATTTAAATGTAATATCTTTCTATTTCTAAAGATGTTCAGTGACTAAAATATTATTTTAATAAAAATATCTGTTTAATAAATCTGTTTTGTTCAAATGCACTGACACATATCAGAAACTGATAAAAAATAATCACTTTCAAAATAGGGTGTGCTCATTTATGCCGAGCACTGTATATATCCCATTTCATTCATTGGTTCTACTGGGATTGTTTTTATTATGGAACTGCTGAGCGCTTTGGTTTCCACTCCCACTGCTTTCACATGTCAAAGTTGCGAAAGCGAAAGTTAACGGATATCAATTGAAAAACGGGAAAGTCTCATTCGCATCCCAAACGTCTTCAGCAAACGTCCAACAATGAAAAACCCAGACTTTCCCGCTTCTGTCTGGAGGGTGAAGGCGGAGGTGTTGAAGTGGTGTCTGGCGTGCTGTGTTTTCTGCACCTGTGTGTGTGTGATGTATGTTCAGTGGACGTATATCTGGATGCTCAGGGCTGAAATGGCTGAAATAACCCAGCGGTTCAGGCCTCTGGATGCGGCGGGGAATGACGGTGGAAAATGCCGCCCTGACGCCGTCTGCTACGGGGTAGGTGAGTGCTTTAAATCAAGAGCTGCTAAAACTATATTATTCATTATTTTATTCATCTGTAATCATCTGCACTGTGTTCTGACAGGCTCATCAGACATACATCACACACTATCATGATTTCAGCTCAAGCAATAGTGATAGATTTCAACAAACCAAACATGACAGATAAGATGTAAAATGTACCAGCTCTATATTACAGTGGAACCAGTTTGGAACCATATATTAAATCAATTGATTTATTCTGTTGTGGTGATTTTATTTGCTACGGTAACAAAATTAATATATTAATATAATCTCATTGCCATTACTGAGTACTGTTTTACTAACTAGGGTATGTTAGCTATATTGCAACACCACAGTTTACTGTAGTAAAATCTACCCTCACCGGCCAATTTATTAGGTACACCTGTACAACTGCTTGTTAATGCAAATCACCTGGCAGCAACTCATTGCATTTAGGCATGTAGACATGGTCAAGACGATCTGCTGCAGTTTAAACTGAACATCAGAATGGGGGGGGAAAGGTGATTTAAGTTACTTTGAACGTGGAACATGGTTGTTAGTGCCAGACAGGCTGGTCCGAGTATTTCAGAAACTGCTGATCTACTGGGATTTTCACGCACAACCATCTCTAGGGTTTACAGAAAATGGTCTGATAAAGTTATTTGGGCGCAAATGCCTTGTTGATGTCAGAGGAGAATGGCCCGACCTTAAGGCGGATGGGCTACAGCAGCAGAAGACCACACCAGGTGACACTCCTGTCAGCTAAGAACAGGAAACTGGGGCTACAATTCACACAGCCTCAACAAAATAGGACAACAGAAGATTGGAGAAACGTTGGTTGACTGGTCTGATGAGTCACGATTTCTGCTGCCACATTCGGGTTGTCGGGTCAGAATACCAACTGAGCATCGTGTCAAGTCAACACCACAGCCTACCTAAGTATTGTTGCTGACCATGTCCATCCCTTTAAGACCACAGTGTACTCATCTTCTGATGGCTACTTCCAGCAGGATAGTGCGCCATGTCATAAAGCGTGAATCATCTCAGACTGGTTTCTTGAACATGACAATGAGTTCACTGCACTCAAATGGCCTCCACAGTCAGCAGATCTCAATCCAATAGAGCAGCTTCGGGATGTGGTGGAAGGGGAAATTCGCATCAAGGATGTGCAGCCAGCAAATCTGTAGCCGCTGCATGCTATCATGTCAATATGGAGCAAAATCTCTGAGGAATATTTCAGCACCTTGTTAAATCTATGACACAAAGGATTAAGGCAGTTTTGAAGGTATAAGGACGTCCAACCCGGTACTAGTAAGGTGTACCTAATAAAGTGGCCGGTGAGTATATTTTAGTACATTATTTATTACAGTTTATCAGTTCACTATAGTTAACTTCAGTATTGTAAGGCATTCATTAACTAAGAGTACAGAACATACTAAAATTATATGGAGTATAGTACACGATACTAAAGTACAGTTCGAAAACAACATAGTACTTCCTATAAATTACTATAGTATTTGTCATGTGTTTTTTTATAGGATATACACAAAACTGGATGGATGGATGGATGGATGGATGGATGGATGGATGGATGGATGGATGGATGGATGGATGGATGGATGGATGGATGGATGGATGGATGGATAGATAGATAGATAGATAGATAGATAGATAGATAGATGGATGGATGGATGGATGGATGGATGGATGGATGGATGGATGGATGAAGCTGACCAAAATGAGTGTGGTGTAGTAATTCTCTGGCAAAAGTATGATCTAAGAATAGTTTGGCATGTTCTTGGGCCTTCTGGGAATTATACTAATAATAAGTTGGACTATTCCAGTAAACTCTACGAGAACAAAGAGCAGTTATTGTTGTTGTTTTTTTCTTTCTTTGTGTGTGTGTTTGTGATGATCCACATACAAAAAGTTGTAGTTATTAAAGTAAATAATCCATTGTTGTTTGAGCTATACTAGAGTAAAGTGTACTATACTTTATACTGTATATTATAGTATTTACTTTGTTAATGAATGCTGCAGCATACTATAGTATGAACTACAGTGAACTGATAAACTAATAAATACTGTTATTACAGTAAAGCAGTACAGTACATACTACAGTAAACTGTGGTGTTGTAGTTAAAGGTCTTTTGTTGTATTACTGTAGTTTTATTAATATAGACTGTAGAATTACCACAATACTTTCAAATTCAATAGAATTTACTATAGAATGGTTAAGAAGAAAATATGATAGTATTTACTATAAATTACTATAGTATTCTTCATCAATGCAGCATTTTCCATGAAAACAATATCTGGAATTGCAGACGTTTTAGTATGTTATGATCAGTGCTGTGGGTAACGTGTTTTAAGTAATGCACATTACATTCATTCATTTTCTTTTCGGCCTTTATTAATCTGGGGTTGCCACAGCGGAATGAACCGCCAACATATCTACCATAGGTTTTACCTGGTGGATGCCCTTCCAGCCACAACCCATCAATGGGAAACACACACACACTCACACACACACTCATACACTAGGGTCAATTTTAGCATACCCAATTCACCTGTACCGCATGTCTTTGGACTTGTGGGTGAAACCGGAGTACCCAGAGGAAACCAACGCGAATACGGGGAGAACATGCAAACTCCACACAGAAATGCCAACTTACCCAGCCGAGGCTTGAACCAGCGACCTTCCTGCTGTGAGGCGAACGTACTACCCACTGCGCCACTACGTCACCTGCACATTACATAATATTAATTTTCTAAAGTAATGAGTAAAGTAACACATTACTTAAATGAAGTAATATTTAAGTTACTTAAAAAAAAATCCAAGAAATACAACATCAAATTTAATAAAGTGTTAAGAAATTTAAGTAACTTAAAAGTAATGTATTAAAATTAAGTATTAATATTTACTTTTTAAAACATGTAATGCAAGCTACTTTATGGGTGTTGTAATTAGCTTTAAAAAATGAATTGCTAAATTAAAATTATTGAAGCCACGCTTAATCACGCACTCGATAAGAGAGCACTCTGCGCGGTAACAAATTCATAAACGATGGAAATTGTCTTAAGAAAAGGAAAATGGGATTGTCGTTAAGTGTAGATTATGTCTAGGTGGGGCGACGCAGTGGCGCAGTAGGTAATGCTGTCGCCTCACAGCAAGAAGATCGCTGGTTCACTGGCTAATTTAGCGTTTCTGTGTGGAGTTAGCATGTTCTCCCTGCGTTCGCATGGGTTTCCACTGGGTGCTCCGGTTTCCCCCACAGTCTAAAGACATGTGGTACAGGTGAGTTGGGTAGGCTAAATCGTCCGTAGAATGTGTGTGTGGATGTTTCCCAGAGATGGGTTGAGGCTGGAAGGGCATCCGCTGCATAAAAATGTGCTGGATAAGTTGGCGGTTCATTCCGCTGTGGCGACCCCGGATTATTAAAAGGACCAAGCCGAAAAGAAAATGAATGAATATTTACTTTTTAAAAAATGTAATGCGAGTTTCTTTTTGGATGACATAATTAGCTTTTAAAAAAACTAATTGCTGAATGAAAATGAACGCAATCATGTTAAATCATGAACTCACTGAGAGAGCACTATACGTGTAGTAACAAATTCAGAAACGAAGATGCCAGGCGGAGCCTACATTTCTGCAATGGAAGTATTTACATTATTTTAAATTCATTGAAGAAAAGGAAAAGGGGATTGTGGTTAAGTGTGGATTATGTGTAGGTGAAAAACTCTTGTCAACTGCAAGAAATACGACAGCTTTTAAAAAAGTAACGCAAAGTAACTCAAAAGTAATGTATTGGATTACTTTCCATAAAAAAAATTTGTTACTTTTTTGGGAAGTAACTCAATCGTGTAATGGATTACTTTCAAAAGTAACTTTTCCCACCACTGGTTATGATGATATCTGATTTCTCATACATTTTGTTTTAAGGTGAGCTGCTTTCACAGATTCCCTGACAGGACACACAGAAGGGTTCGAGACAAAAGACATGTGACCGAACAAAAGAAACAGAGAAAGAAGCGACAAAGTGAGTAATTTCTCCTAATTAATCTTAAAATGTGATTAAAAATCACCTGTTTTGTCATCACTTCAGACATTACGCTAGAGAATCATTCAAATACTAGCTCTAAAGTGACTGAATGAGCAACGGTATCTGCTGTTCTGACAATCAGCTGCAGATGTGTATGAACGGCGGAAGAAAGTAGTTCCTCTTACAAAAAGTTCCTTTTGATTTTTTTGTTTTATATACATGATTATGCCATTGAACTGTTGTATAAACGCAATATCACCTTCGTAGCAGTGCGATATGGGTGTATATCATTCACTGGTGGGACACTAAGGCACTTGAGCCAACACATGTCTCCCTCCAGTGCCAATATACAGCCATATCACACTGCTACGAGTGTGATATTGCTCATATATAGTTGTATAAAACTTTGTTTATATTACTAGTGTTATGGTGCTACCATAGCAACTGTAGAATTGCCACGACAGATTAATTTACTATAGTATGGTTCACACACACTATAGTATTTACTATAAATGACTATAGTATTTTTTCATGTGGCTAAGGTTTTCACTTGTATCTCATGTAAATTGCTGTTTCTTTTAGCAGAGCAGCACACATTTCTCCATCTGGTTCCTGTGTCCTCGCAGTCATACAGTGAGTGTAAACCTCATAATCTCTTGCTACAGAATTAAAGTCTCTAGAGAATATGACACACACCCTCACACGGCTCCAGATATTACATCCTTTTTTTGTGAAACACAAAATAATAAATAATAATTAATAAAAAAAAAGCAAGTAAAGTTCTCAAATTCGATGTGCTTTCCTTTCAAGGGACAGTTCCCAACTAAATCTCCTCTCAGTGTTTCACACTCAAGTGGTTGCACACTTTTATGCTTGTTTTCTTCAGTTTAACACAAATGATGATGTTTTGAAGAACGTTGCAACTATTGACATCCATAGTAGGAATAAAAAAACACTATGGAAGTTTTTATTTCCAACATTCTTCAATACATCTTCATTTGTGTGGGAAGGACTGAAAGAAACTCAAACAGGTTTGGATCACGTGTCTAAATAATGACAGAATTTTCATTTTTTTGGGGTGAACGACTTAATTCAACCATTTATTTGCGATGGTGAACTGTATTATGGGATGTTGATCTCTGCTCTGTCAACATTTAATGTTGAAAATTCAACTACAGTTTAAGAAAGTGACTTTTATTGACATTTTTGTAGTTTAAAGTAATATAATGTATAAGAAATAATAATATTTAGAGTAATAAGTGATTAAAATAACAGAAAGTGCACAGGTAGCTTATAACAAGGTTTTTGTAGTGTAATATAGAACATAGGCTCATTCTGAAAATGTAGCTCCATATACATTTCTGGAGATCGCAAATTATGTAGCCAGAAGTACGTATGGCTGCATTTCATCTTAAAAGCAAACACTACAGGGTGGTGTGGCCATTCCTTTTCGCGCTTACCAGCGGATTGCATACCTCTATATGGAAGGCTTTACCGCTATTAACAGTTTTTCTAGTAGCTCACCATGTATGGCGGCAGACTTGAGACGCAGAGTGAAGTTGACCAGTAAGTGGGAACAGTTCCATAAAGTGAGTAAGACAAAAACATCAAGTAAATAACAGGGTGAGAATGTGATAAAGTCTGAAAATGTGGTTAATAAAAACACTGTTGGTTGGATTTAGAAAAGTGGGTAGGTGGGTCAATCTGTGCTTTTGAAAACACTATCGGTTGCAACCCAAGCTCATTCTGAAAACGTAGCTGGAGGTACATATGGCTGCATTTCGTTTTTTCAAGCAAATGCTACGAGGCGGTGTGACGCCGCTCCTCTTCTTCGCGCTCGCCGGCTGTGACGGCTCACCTTCGTGTGGAGGGCTTTGTTACGTTGGTGTAGCAGAGGCCCGGTGGAGAAGGAGCCACCCACGGCGACGACCGGGTTCAAGTCCAGGGAAGAGCGGTTCCAGAAATATGGTAAGATGAAAAACAGATTCCAAAAAATAAAAGAGAATGAGTTCGTGACGGAGCGAGAATGCGGCGAAATCCGAAAAGTCGGTCAAAATTGGACGATGGCCTTTGTTTTTTTTTTGTTTTTTTTTGGACAGCTTTTGTAAATCGTCACTTGGGTTTAGAGAAGGAGGAAGAGGAGGGTGGCTGGGTCGGCTGTCCAGTCGGTCATTCAGTCAGTCGGACAGATGGTCGCTTGACAGTGGCCTCCGGCAGCTTTTCATGCGAGAACAGCGCGGGCAAGAACGGCGCATGCTTCTGAGAGGCGTTCGAGAAATGAAAAAACGCAGCACAGCGGCCTCTCGTGGATTTGCGAAAACAAAAACTGCACAAATACGTACGTCCAGGAACGTATTTTGCGGCCTCCAGAAATGTCTGCAAGGCTACGTTTCCACAATGAGCCTGGGTTGATTGGTTGGGTTTAGAGAAGAAGGAGGGTGGGTCAGTCGATCAGTCAGTCAGTCGACAGCGGCCTCTGGTGGATTTACGTGAGAGCAGCAGGCGTGAATGGCACTCGTGAGAGACATTTCAGATCTCAAAAAGCGACACAGCGGCCTCTGGTGGATTTGCGAAAACAAAAACTGCAATAAAACGTACCTCCTGGGATGTATTTGGCACTTTGCAGAAATGTATATAGGGGTACGTTTTCAGAATGAGCCTGGGTTGGCTAATATACAACACCAACCCATACAATATACCGCATTATTTTAAACTATTCAAAATGTTACTTTTTAGAACTTTTTAATATTAAAAGTTGTTGGAAGAAAGATCAAGGTCCCATAATGCAATTAAATTCATAAATAAATAAGGAACATTTCTAAATAAAAACATGAATCAAAAAATACAAAAAAAAAAATGCTAATTTACAGATATTTTTTTACAGTGTAAGATAGATGTTGATGTGTTTTTAGTCTCATGTTCTCACTGTTTTCCAGCTGATTCTGATGTGATGTTTATATCATACTGTATATCCCCTATGTTTTTTGTCAGATGATGCTGACAGCACCGTTCTGTCTTGGGCCGTTGGCCAGAGCAGAGGAATCGGGCTTCAGCTATCAGGTGATACTGTTACAGTGGAGGCCGAGGGAAGCTACTTCATTTACAGTCAGGTTTGTTTTAATACTAAAGTTTTCCCTTCCATCTGCAACCCAGCACTGGGAAACACCCATAGACTCACACATGCACTCATACACTATGACCAATTTAGTTCATCCAATTCACTTATAATGCATGTCTTTGGACTTGTGGGGGAAACCGGAGCACCCAGAGAAAACCCACACTAACTCAGGGAGAACATGCAAACTCCACACAGAAATATCAACTGGCCCAGCTGGGACTTGAACCAGCGACCTTCTTGCTGAGAGGTGACAAACACATGTGCGAAAGGTGAATTAGATTAACTAAATTGTCTGTAGTGTATAAGTGTTTGTGTGTGAATGTGAGAGTGTATGGGTTGCTGCTGGAAGGGCAATCGTGGCGTAAAACATATGCTGGAATAGTTGGCGGTTCATTCCGCTGTGGTGACCCCTGATAAATAAGGGATTTTGCTCCCTTATTTTAAATTTCTGCCCAGAGAGGTCATGTTTTGAGCTTCGATTGGTCTCATACAATCACATGATGCGATTTTGCAGGTCAGAGCGAACTGCGAAACTTTTCGCACGAGTTTGCATTTCCGGTCTTGCGCATTCACTTGCGTGTGAATAGAAGTCCGAGAAGAAAAGTGCAGTGTGACTTTATTCTGTTACTCCCACAGGTGCTGTATAGAGACACTACCTGGGTAATGGGTCACGTGATCACGAAGAGGCTGAAAGGGGCGGAGTCTAAACTGATGAAGTGTCTAAAGAGCATGCCCAGTAACGTCAGCCAGCCACTCAACACCTGCTACAGTGCTGGTGAGTGACCTGGACAACAAGTCAATCTAGAAATAATCCGATTATAGCAGTGTCTAACTTATGAGAAGTCACTGCGTTTTTGTGCTTTTGTGGTATGTTAAAATTACTTTTAAAAAAAACAAGTAGATAAAACAAAATATTTTATTTAAAATTCTATAATTAGCATAATACCCAATAGTAATTAAATACTACTGCATTTTTAACACATGTAAAGTCATGAGCCTGAAGCTGCGACTGTTTTTTTTCATATTGTGACGCAGTTCCTAGAAAAACAAAAATTAAGTGAACAGTGGATGTGGCTTGTTTTATCTACTGCGAGCTGATTGGATGTGGTAAAGTAGGCATTTCCTTGAGAAAGGCCTGGAAAAGGATTTAGGGGAGAGTTATTACAGCCTAACTGACTCTTCCTGCTCACTATTTCTGTTTGTTGTCAAAACTGACAGCTGAAGGGGCGTGGTTAAGTATGTTAGCCACGCCCAATACCCCAGACAGACCTAATCTGAAAATTTAACTGAAAACACTTACAGACTTCAATTAAAGATCACAAGGGCACACTTTTTTTTTCTTAATGACAAGCACAGATGAATTGTTCAGCACAAAACTCGTAATGTGAGCTAACGAAATCGATAGGGTTAGTTTTGATTTCATTTGTATTTATTAGAAATATTGTATATTTTATTACATTTGAATTAAAATCACAAATTCACTCACACACAAGAAATACAATCAATTATATGTATCATATATAGTCACCATAGGTTCATCCCGAAAACGTACCCCTGTATATACATTTCTGGAGATCACAAATTATGTATCCAGAAGGTATGGCTGCATTTCGGCTTTAAAACTAACACTACGGGGTGGTATGATGCCGTTCTTTTCACGCTTACCAGCTGACTGCTAACCTCCGTATGGACTGCTTTCCCGCTGATACCAGTTTGCGTTGTGACTCGCTGCGTACATCTGTGGACTTGAGACGCAGAGAGGTGTTGACCATGATGATTGCGATCAAGTCCGGCTAAGAACGGTTCCAGAAAGCGGGTAAGAAAAAAATAAATAAAAATAAACAATTGAATAACAGGGTGAGAATATGGTGAAATCTGAAAATGTCGTAAAAATCAGATGAGGGCTTTTCTTTTTCTGTATTGCTTTTGAAAACGCTGTCGGCTAGGTTTAGATGAGGAAGGTCATACATTTGACAGCAGCCTCTGGTGGATTTACGTGAGAGCAGCAGTCGTGAGTGGGACTCGTGAGAGAAATCTGAGATCTGAAAAAGCACACCAGCTAACTATCCGAAACATTTTTGTTTCATCCCTTAAAAAAAAAAAATACCATTAAATTATCCCGGACGAGCCCCCAATTATGTTACAACCTCTCTTTAAAAATGGCTCGTTTTGAACAGAGAGAAAGCAACATAAAAAAAAAATTGTAAACATAGTAATTGTTTTTAAAATCAATTAATTTTTTCCAGAAAACCCAAAATAACGAGACCATCCTAACCCCAAAACAACAAATAAAATAATAAATCTCCAAACAAACCGAAAAAGAAAGAATTAAAAAACACAAAACAATGCTGGCTGGTCCACTAATCCCGTGTTCACCTTTCACCTCCTCGTTGGCGTCTTTTAAACTCTCCCAATTAGTCCCAACATGACAAGCAGGTGCGTCCACCCACGGAAGAGCTAGAATGAGTGCACATGAAAACAAGAGTTAGTAAAAAAAAAAAAAAAACACAACAACAAAAAAAATCCAGACACAGACCGTAACAGTAGCTCCTGGGGTGAGTTTGGCGCTCTCCAGAAATGTATATAGGGGTACCTAATCATAATGAGCCTGGGTTGCGTATAGTGGCAAAAAAAACTGTACTACAGCATTAGGCTTCATAGTAACATGATTAGATGAAAGCGTTTTCAGTAGTTTGCAGATCTCTGTGTCGGTTATACTGTACCATCTTATGCTAAAGTTCCTGTTTATTCATAAATCTCACTGGATTATTTTGCAAAATATTTCCAATAAGATGAGATTAAGTACAGTGTGTTCCTGCCTTAGGTATTTACTTCCTGGAGTCTGGATCTACTCTTCAGCTCTCTGTTCCTCGCAGATCTGCAGAGCTCATCCTCACAGCTCACGCTACCTTCATGGGGCTCTTCAGCATATGACCCACACACACACACACAGTCTCACACATGCTCACATTCACCTATGCTTACACACACACACACAAAGCACAAACACTCAATCAAGACTCAAACACACACGTTCACACACATGCACACTCACAAACAAGCATACACTCTGACTTAGTGACACACACTCAGCTACACTCACACACATGCTCACATGCCTGCACACTTATGCATACACTGCAATACACTCATGAACACAGACTCACACAGTCACACAGTCACACACACACACACACACACACACACACACATGCTCACATTCACCTATGCTAACACACACACACACACACACACACACAAAGCACAAACACTCAATCAAGACTCAAACACATACACACACACACGTTCACACACATGCACACTCACAAACAAGCATACACACTCTGACTTAGTGACACACACTCAGCTACACTCACACGCATGCTCACATGCCTGCACACTTATGCATACACTGCAATACACTCATGAACACAGACTCACGCAGTCACACACACACACACACACGCACACACACACACACACACATACAGTCTCACACATGCTCACATTCACCTATGCTAACACACACACACACACACACACACATACACACAAAGCACAAACACTCAATCAAGACTCAAACACATACACACACACACACGTTCACACACATGCACACTCACAAACAAGCATACACACTCTGACTTAGTGACACACACTCAGCTACACTCACACGCATGCTCACATGCCTGCACACTTATGCATACACTGCAATACACTCATGAACACAGACTCACACAGTCACACACACACACACACACACACACACACCTCATTTCCCATATCCTTCAAAGTGAACTGTCTGTGGTGTATGGATGACACCTAGTGGACAACTGGAGTGATGAAATGCTAATAGTGGTCCTGACTGTAGACATGCAAACATTTCAATGGTATCATCATTACACTGTGTATTTTCCTATATTTACTATGGTCAATGTAAATATGTAATGTAAATATCATGTATGAATATGGCAACATTCAGTATCATAGTATCACGATGCCACTTTCAATCACCAAACCATGGTACAACCACTTTTTCCATATTAATTGTAGCTCACCCAAAAATACAAACACTATAGAACCCTGTTTAACATTCAGTGTTAATTTTGTTATTCATTTAAACTTATTTTTAAATTGATTGTTTTATTTACGGACAATTTAGCCTACCCAATTCACCTATAGCGCATGTGTTTGGACTGTGGGGGAATCCAGAGCACCCGGAGGAAACTCACACCAACACAGCCCTGCTGAAAAATCCAACTTAAACCAGCCTAAGGCTGGTTTAGGCTGGATTTTTTAGCAGGGAGGAACAGGAAGAATATGCAAACTCCACACAGAAATGCTAACTGACACAGCTGGCACTCGATGCAGTGACCTTCTTGCTGTGAGGTGACCGCGCTACCCACTGCGCCACCATGTCACCCCTAAAATAAATA